GTTGGCGCAGGATAGAGCAGGGTTTAGGACTGTTGTGCATAGGGTCACTATGAGTCGAAAACGACTCGATGGCACATAACAACAACAACAACATATTATATGGCAGCCCACTTCACGCTGCATCTCCCAGTAAGTCAGCTATACACTATAAAGCCACCACCTCCCTCCTCATAGAAGATTCAGTCAATGGAATTTGATTAGCCCTTGTCCAACTTGTGCAGGGCCCAATCGATGACCAAATCAGGAGATGAACACCAAAATCCACTCCAGCTTTATTCTGTCTCTCAGAATAATGGCTGGATGTTTTGGGTCCACCACCTTCTTCATAGAAAGGAGGCTAGAAAATCAAAACAACCATGAGATATCAGCTCACCCCAGTAAGAACAGCAAAATTTAACAGAACAGCAAACAACAAATGCTGGCAAGGTTGTGGAGAAACTGGAATACTTATTCACTGTTGGTGGGAGTGTAAAATGGTGCAGCCACTATGGAAGGCGGTATAGCGCTTTCTCAAAAAGTTGCAAATAGAAATACCATTTGACCCAGCAATCCCACTACTGGGAATTTACCCCAAAGAAACTATAACTTCAACCCAAGCAGATACATGCACACCCATGTTTATAGCTGCTTTTTTCATAATAGCAAAGGTTGGAAACAACCCAAGTGCCCATCAACAAACAAATGGATACAGGAGCTGTGGTATATTCATAAAATGGAATACTATGTTGCATTGGAATACAAGGAACTCATCCAATATTATACAAAATGGATGACCCTGGAGTGAAATATCTCAGTCACAAAAGGACAAATACTGCACAGTGCCACTGTTGTAAAAAGGGACTGACATCAGGGTTGGCGGGAGACTGAGAGGGGGGAACAAATTATGTATGCTGAATTGAAATAGATGAGGGAGAGAACTTTAAAAGAGAGATATGATTAGGTATTATTGTCATGACAGGAGTCCAGAATAAAGGCTTCATAGTGGAGTGGACTTGGGCAAAGGGATTATATAACAATGAAAGAATTTTTCTTTTACTTTTCAAAGAGAACAGTGAATTGGGGGGGAGGTGTGGGCAGGGAGAAAAGTGCAACAATGAATAAATGGAAATCCAAAGTCTGTAAATTTTCATTAAAATTAATATAATAATAATTAAAAAGGAAAGGTGGCTAGATTTAAAAGGGAAAAAATAAATCTGAACTATGGAATTCATAATTGTACATTATTTTAATTTACTTGTACATGAATTCAAAAGGACTCCAAAATGGTTAGAGAGCTCCAATGGACTAACGGGTAAGAAGTTGCACTGCGAACTCAAAAGCAGGCAGTTCAAATCTACAAGCTGCTCCAAGGAAAAAAGATGGGCAACCACCTCCCATTGATAAACAGCCTGTGAAAACCTACTGGAGGGTCAGCTATAAGTCAGTCCATGTCAATAATTGTCTGATACAATTCTGGGAAAGATGGAAGGTCAACCAAAGAAAGGAAAACCCTCAGTAAGGTGGGTTGGGGTGAACCCTTTCTATGAAGATGGCACCAAAAGCAAAGAAGGAAGCCCCTGTCCCACCCAAATCTGAAGCCAATGCAAAGTCCTGAAGGGCATCCACAGCCACAGAAAAAAGATCCACACGTCAACCACCTTCTGGTGGACTTAGATGCTGCCACTCTGAAGGCAGCCCAAACACCCCAGGAAGAGCGCACCCAGAAGAAACAAGCTTGATCATTATACCATCATCAAGTTTGCCCTGACCACTGAGTCAGCTATGAAGAAGATAGAAGATAACACCACATTTGTGTTCATTGTAGATGTCAAAGTCAACAAGCACCAAATCAAACAAGCTATAAAGAAGCTATATAATACTGATATGGCCAAGGTCAACATCTTGATTAGGCCTGATGGAGAGAAGAAGGCTCATGTTCAACTTGCTCCTGATTACGATGCTTTGGATATTGCCAACAAAATTGGGATCATCTAAATTGAGTACAAATGACTAATTCTAAATATAAATTTTTCTTGGGAGGGGAAAAAAGATGGATTGATGCATCAAGTCAAAAGTTACTGCAGCAATGGTCTTAAGCACAGGACAGACTAAGGGTAGTACAGGATTGGTCAGGGTCCATTCTGTTATATACAGAATAGCTATGGGCCAGAGCTGATTCAATAACATTAACAACAACTATCATGTTGTTACTCATGAAAATGGTACTTATTTAATTTGATCCAGTATAAAACAAAAGCAATTGAGATTGTTGACAGCTTCCGTTTGTTTGGCTGTACAATAATCACTCCTGGAACCAGCAGCCAGGAAACTAAAAGACTAATTGCGTTGGAGAAGTCTGCTGTCAGAGACCTCTCCAAAGTACTGAAGAGCAACAACGTCAGTCTGCAGACTAAGGTGTGCCTGATACAGGCCATGGTCTTTGCAATCATTTGCTATGCATCAGAGAGCTGGACAATGACTAGGGATGATAGGAGAATTTTTGCCTTTGAGCTGTGGTGCTAGAGAAGAGTATTGAATATACCATGAACTGCTAGGAGAACAAACAAGTCCATCCTGGAGAGGATGAAGCCAAGCTGCTCCTTGGAGGCAAGGATTCTGAAGCTTCATCTGATATACTTTGGACATGTTGCAAGGTGGGATCAATCCTTGGAGAAAGGGGTCATGCTTGGGAGGGTGGCAGGACAGAGCAGGAGAGGAAGACCCTCAATGAGATGGATTGTTTCAGTCACTGGGATAATGAGGATAGGGGTGTAGGATACAATAAAATTAGCAAGGGATAGAACAGGGTTTAGGGCTATTGTACAGAGGGTCGCTATGAGTCGCAGGTGACTCGACACATAACAACAACCACAATGCAATTGTTTTCAAAATATGCAGCATATTTTGAATGCAAGATATATATATATATATTTTTTTTAAGATATATTTTTAACTACAGGACCATTGAGGGAAATTTCCTGGGGCATAATCCTAAGAAAAGTAATGTTATCATTCTATTACTAGTGACTGGTTTATATTTGCTCAATTTATGTTGGGATGGTAACATTTTGACATTCCAGGTTTTAATCTAATTTTCCACTTCTCATCCTGATGTGAATTTCCTAAGATCTGACTGTCTTCCTAAGTCTCTAAATTTCAGAATCTTGAAGGTGGTAATTGTGTCAATCAACCTATATCCAACTACTCCTAAGATGCACTGAACTGTTATTGTCTTTTATTCAGGTACCAACTTTTTATATATTTATATATATAAATTTATATTTTATAAATTTATATATATTTACATATATAAATATATATTTTACACATATCATATATTCTATTATATATTGTATATTATATATATTTTACCATGCCTACAGAAAATGTCTTAGAAAATGAGATGCCTCTCTTTATTCTGATTCTCTGCTCAAGCAATCAAGTATTTTCATTGGTTCATTGGTGGGTTGGAAAAAAGAAACAAAACCAGACAAAAACAAACCCACCAAGAAGTCAATTGCCTTCCAATGGATTCCAATTCACAGTGATCCTGCAAGGCAGAGAACTGCCTCACAGAGATCCCAAGACTATAATCTTTATGGAAATAAATCCACCACACTCTTCATCATTAACAGCTTGAGTTAAACCTCTGTGTGTCTGCTCATAGTCAACATTATGATACACGGAAAAAAGACTGAAATGATCAATAATTTCATCTTACTCAGATCCACACTCAACACCTGTGGCGGCAGCTATCAAGAAATCAAAAGATGTGTTGTACTAGCAAAGATCTGCTATCAATGACATCTCCACCGCTGAGGAGCAGGGATGTCAGTTTCAACACTAAGGTATACATGATCCAAGTCAAGGTGTTTTCAATTACTTGCTGTGCATCTGAAAATTGGACAATGACTAAGGATGACAGAAGAAGAATTGATGCTTGGGAGTTGTGGTGTTGGAGAAAAGTACTGAATAGTGCATGGATTGCCAAACAAAAGAATAACGAAATATGTCTTGGAGAAAAATGAAACCAGGGTGCTCCTTGGAGGCAAAGATGGTGAAACTTCATCTCACATACTTTGGGGCATGTCATTAGGAGAGGCTGATTCTTGGGAAAAGTCAACAGAACAGAAGATGACTCTTAACAAGATAGACTGATACAGTGATTGATAAGTGATTGTAGCAATGGGCCCAAATATATTAGAGATGGTGAGCACGGCACAGGGTAGTGCAGGGTGCAGACCAGCTGTTCATAGGTTTGTGGGGTTGTATTCCTACCTATATAGGCATCATTATGAGATGGAAGGCAATGGGATTTTTGTCTTTTCAAAAGTATGAAAATGCTTTAAAATCAGAAGATTCCATTTGTGCTCTGGCTTTCATGCCTAATACAACTTGAGTTAATAGTATGACCTCTGTGCTACCATCCTTATCATTTACAAGGAGTTGGGAACTGAAATGAAGGAACACCTAGGAAATAATTTTTGTAATGCAAAGTAGTAATAGTGCCTGTAGGAACATAAATGATGGCGAGTATTATTAGTGGTGTATTTGTCACACTCCCAGTCAAGACTCAGGGCTCTCTCTGAGACAGGTGACACATGTTTACCTTAATATTCCCATTGTAAGTGTCAGAGTAAAGGATGGCTTGAAATCGAACGTCCTGGTGGCTGATTTCTGTGGTCAAGTAGTTGAGGATTTTCTGTACCTCTTCCACAGTCTGGGAGATCAGCTGGTGCCTCAGGTTCACCTGGGTTGAGAGGAATTAGCAAGGTGGTTATTTCCGCACAGCCCATAGGGCACTGAGAAATGAACTTGACAATAACCAACAATAACAACAACTTTAGTTCGAGAATAGTTTTGAGATATCCACAAACTGATCAAGATATGCAGAAATAAGTTTAAGTCATAGAGATTTGTTTTCTTGAAATAAGTTATCAACTAATCCAGAAATCTGAGGTGTCATCTTGCCATCAAACAGCAAGCCAACCACATGTGTGCAGAAGATAAATACATATGCATGTATATATCATGAATTGCTATAATAACCAGGTTCATCCTGTTGTTGTTATGTGCCGTCGAGTCACCTGCGACTCATAGCGACCCTATGTACGATAGCCCTAAACCCTGCTCTATCCCGTGCCAAACTTACTGTCACCTACACACCTATACCCATTACCCCAGTTAGTGAATCAATCTACCTCATTGAGGGTCTTCCCCTCCTGTGCTGTTCCTCCACCTTCCCAAAGGCAGGTCCTGCCTTGCAACATGTCCAAAGTATGGGGAAGGGTTGGTGCCACCAAATACCATAGGGGCAGATGAACCAGTCTGAAGGCTGAGACCTATACCTGATGCACATACATCTTACAGATAGGACTGTCCCATAAAAGCAAGCTAATACCTTCTAGATGCATAGAGTCAGGAGTACAAAGAAATACAAAGCAGGAGACTTAATCTTACGGGGTTTACAATCATTGGAGATACATCTCCTAAAGATAAGGTCTTTAACATTAATATTTTTTGTCTGATCTTGAATATAGTGAGTCTATCTTGATGGACTTTTCTCCTCAGCTTAGATTTACTGGTCTCGTTTATGAAGTCATTGATTCACGTGTTCTGTGTCCTTCTGCCAGAGATGCTTCTAGTATATCAAGGCCTTTGTTTTCTGCCAATCCATTGTCTACAGATTTCTTGAGAATGAATGTGATGCTCTGTCCAATGCTTTTTACCTTTTATTTTATACTTTATCTATGCATTATTTTTTTTTATTCAGCTTTTTGTCATCAGTAGCCATCCACCCTTCTCCATACCTTTACCCCTCCTACCAGAATCAGCATGAGCTAGAACCAAGGATATCCTCCTTCAGCATTTGCACACTATGGGGACCGCCTCTTCCAGAATGGGCCAAGGAAGGGGGTCACCACAGAGGAGACAGGCCATCTTCCAGGCCAAAAACAAATTATTTTTGAAAATTGAGTTTAAAGGTCTTTCTTCACTGTGTGGGCTCCTTTTTATACATTTATTCCATTCCATTCAATCAATTTTTATTATTAAACATTCACTTCATGGCAGGCTTTTGTGCATACATGCTGTTTGGGCTTGCTAGATGAGTTATCAAAGCAAGACAAAGAGCCTGGCCATCGAAAAGTGTATCTGAGTGTTAAGTAGAAGATGCTTATGGATACCGGGAAAGGGATAATTAATCAAGATCATTGTGAGGGTCTTCCCTGAGGAATGAAGTACTGGAGTTGGGTCTTAAAAGATTGCTAGAAAGCAAAGGGCATGAAAGTTGTTGTAGAAATTTGAGAAAGTAGCAAGTACCTTGGAATGATAAGCATGAGAATAGCAGCTCTTACTATATTGAAGCAGAGATTGCATTGCAGGAGTGGTGGTGGGGAGAATTAACGAAGAGTAAGAGGTTTTGGAAATAAAGAAAGGGGAATTTCAAGAACAAGATCAACAGTTAGTGGCAGAGGAAGAAAAACGTCTGTAAAGCATCCAGAGACTTTGACAACTATAACAGGGTTGGTGAGGTGCCAGCACTTCTCAGCCTGCCATGGGGAGAAGAATAGGACTGTGTATTTAAGGAGTGGTGATTCAGACTGCAGGGAGTGAATGGGACAGGAGCAAGCAGAAACATGCCAGAAACTTCTTTAAGAGAAACAGGCATGAACATGATTAACTGCTGAGGGAAGGAACAGTGAAGGAAAAAAGGGAGAGCAGAGAGCAAAGAATTTCCCAGTAGAAAGGAACAGAATATATCCAGACACCTGGCGGAGGATTTAGACTTCCTTCTTTGTCAAGAAATACAGCCTACAAAGACATGCTTGGAAAAGTGGAGGATCAGGTTACAGATGTGTCCCAACAAGCAAATTCCATCATCAAATGAGGGTATGATTTTTTAAAATTGTTTTTTTAAATAAATGAACATTTACAGAGATTTTGGACTTCCATCCATTCATTGTTGCACTTCTCTCCCCGCCCAGCCCTCCCCTCGCCCCCCCTCCCCAGTATGCTTTAGTTAAGATTCACTATGAAAACCTCTTCTTTGTGTGTGGCCAACACAATAGTGTTAGCTATTGGTGCACTATTTTCAACACTATGACCATTTTGTTATCTTGTTAACTCTTGCATTACTTTTCTCCCACTCTGCCTTAGCAATGATGTCAGTTTGAAGACTAAGGTGTGCCTGATTCAGGCCAGGGTCTTCTCAGTCACCTGTTAAACAGCAGGGAGCTGGACAATGAATAAGGACAGAAGAAGAATTGATGCCTTTGAGTTGTAGAGCTGGAGAAGAATATTGATTGAATATCCCATGGACTGCCAAGGGAACAAATGGATATGTTTTAAAAAAGTGCACTGAAAGTGCTCCTTGGAGGCAACGATAGCGAAGCTTTGTCTTTAATACTTTGGATATGTAGCCAGGGAAGGGTACTCCTTGAAAAGATGGGAGGGTCAGTGAAGGAGAGGAAGACCCCCAGTGAGATAGTTTGACACAGCACTTGGCTCAAGTGTGTCAGAGATGAGGATGGGATGCGATAAAACAGGGTTCAGGATCTGTTGTTCATAGGGTTGCTCTAAATCAAACTCAATGGAATTTCACATCTACTATGTCAGGAAGAAGACAAGTACAAGTAAAGGTAAAAGGGTAGGGCATGGTGGAGTTCTGAGAGGTTCCCTATTTGATGTTGAATTGAAAGCAAGGTAATTTGCTGAAGGTGGGGTGGAGAGGAGGGCAGGGGATTTACAGGTGGCAGACTTTGACATAACTTTTCTAAGGAATGAGGCAGCTGAGGTACATGTACTATGAGGCAGAGCCAAGAACAACTGAGATTGGCCCCGGGGGCGATGGCCGCCAGAGACGCAGCTGTGTGACAGTCTCCAGCACCTCTCAGACCTCCAACGAGAAGAGTAAAAGAGTTTGAGTGGTAGATCATGGTTCCTGTGTAGGAAAAATCCAGGACAGGCAAGAAGCCTGAAGCAAATTAGATTGCAGAATATTGAACAAGTTTAAGGACAGGAAGTTAATGCTTAGCTGGTTATTGTTGTTGTTGTTAGATGCCAATGAGTCAGGTACAACTCATAGTGACTCTATGAACAGCCATACTGAACCCTGTCTTATCCTGTGCCATCCTCATCATCTCTCTGACACACTTGAGCCCATTGCTGACATCAAATTATCTCATTTGGGGGGTGGGGGGAGGGTCATTCTCTCCTTCACTGACCCTCCCATCTTTCCAAGCATGATGTCCCCTAGCTACATGTCTAAAGTATAAAAGACGAAGCTTCATTATCTTTGCCTCCAAAGAGCACTCTGGCTGCATTTTCCCCAAAACCATATCTGTTTGTTCTCTTGGCAGTCCATGGGATATTCAGTACTCTTCTCTAGCACCATAACTCAAAGGCACTGATTCTTCTGTCGTCCAACTGTGACATGAAGCAATCAGGCACACCTAAGTCTTCAACCTGACAGCATTGTTTAGGTAGTTTTTGTTTTTTTTTTATTTATTTATCTGGGCATCACTAGTGGTTCCTAGCTTTTCATGAACTAAAATGAAGGGTGGCCTGAGGGTGATACTGGGCTTGGATCAGAGTGCGGGAGACCACCTCACCTTGGACAACGCTACTCTCACCGTGCCCAAGATGCTGAGGTGAGGGAGAGAGAGAACCATCTTTCCCTTTTCTTTTCTTTCCTCAGAGTCCCTGGTTGTCAAATGGTTCATGTACCTGGCAGCTAAGCACAAAGTTGGACAGTCCACTCAGCTTTGGAAGGCAGACGCAGAAATTTACTTGTGAAAATTCAGCTACTGAAAACCTATTTCACCATGAGGCAAAATCAAGTTGACAATTGTTTGCAATGAGATGCTTGCTTCATGAAGCCAGAGAAGTAGTAAAGGGCTTCTAGGGTAGGTCTTTTGGCTGGGCTCTGATTGTGAAAGCACTTCTGGCTTGCAGGGCTCCTTCCACCAGCATCATGCCCTATAAAACTATCTTAGCCCCACTCTCCATTTTTTTTTCTACATCCCGAAACAGAATCTTCTCCCTATACCACTCAAGGTCATGGTCAGGACCAGTGAGGCACACAGCATGGGGTTGGATCAGGGTTGACATGATGGGATGTGACAAGAGCTCCAGAGGAGCAAGTCAGGGAACATGGTGGCACAAACCATGTCTCAGGCAGCTAATAAATAGCACAGTGACACTGTGTAAGTCAAGTGCAGGAAGTATGGTGCCCTCGTGGCAGTGAGTGAAGCATTGATTCTATTATAGAAAGACCAGCCATTTGGACTCACGGGAACAAGATGAGACTGCAGAGCTTCCATAAAGACTGACAGCCTTGGAAGCCCTGTGAGGCAGTTGACTCTGTTCTGCAGGGTCACTATGAGCTAATAGGGTCTCAGTGAATGGCAGTGGGTTATTTTAGGAAGCATAGCTGGGGATGTGGGGAAAGAAAACAAGCAGCTGCCAATGAATAGACACTGACTCCTGGTGACCAAATGGGCTGAGAAGTAAAGACCTGCCCCAGAGATGCTTTCTTGTCTCTTTAACTTCAGGAGGCAAGACTTGTTGAAACTTATTTTTTGACAAAGCATCAATTTAAGGGCTAAATATGATCATTAAAGAAGATTAGATCAGAGACAAACTTGCACCCTGGTACCTTTCAAGTTCCTCTTTGACTTAAGGAACAAAAGCAGAGTTTTCTTTGCATTTGTCAATGTGACAGGAGAAACACAGACAGGAATGCTATTAGGCAGATGAAGCTAGGTGCTCAAGGGACCAGCGAGTCCGTTCTAGAAGAGCTATCCATGCTGCTTAGCATGCAGTCAGTTATTCCCACGAAGTGAGCTTTTCTAAATACCATCATCAAAGAGAATCTTCCGTTGGTTGTTCATAGCCTTCCAAATACACGGGGCTTGTTCCATTCCTGGACACACGTCCCTCGCTTGGTTACTTTCCTCTTCTCTTCACCAACCCCAGCCACCAGAGCTCACTGTTGTCCCCCAAGTCATTTGTTACTATTAATAATTTAAGCTGGTGACTAATTTACTGGTTTACATATGAATTATTGGAAAGTCAAGGTTATTCCCTATAATAACATCACCCTGCCTTGCTTGGATTCAGATATCTCTCTGGAGAGACAGAGGTGACACCTGAGTAATATGCAGAAATGTCACACCAGCCTCGTTATACTTGGGCACAGGGCTGTGTGACTGTCATCTGTGGCAAATGCCTTTAGGGGGAAAAAAACCTGAGAACTTCCTTCCAGAAAATAGGATGTCAGACCTTTGAGTATTACGTTAAATCCAGTAATAAGTTTTAAAAAAAAAAAAAAAGGAAAGCACTATCCCTTGCCTTCCTGGATAAAGTCATGGGAATTTCATGACAAAAACAAATAAGGGGGGAGCTCCGGTGGCCTAGTGGCAAGAAGCTGCAACTACAATCCCAGAGGTGCACGGTTTGAACCCACCAGATGCTCTGCCGGGGAAGGAGGGGCAATCTCCTCCTGTACCAGTCAGATCTGATTTGACGGTACATGCACATAAAAAGAATAAAATAAAAAAAAATTAAAAAAAAAACAATAAGGAAACAGACTTCTTACCACCCTACCCCTATCTTTTTTGTGCAATACTTCCATGAGTCAAATGATTGGGTCTCACAGGACATCTAGAGTTCTCACATATAACACAAGCTTGTGGCAACAGCATCAGGGCCCTTTCTAAGACTTGGCTAGGATAAGACTCCAAATAAGACTTTATGATGTCTACTACTATTAATCCCATTTTACAGATGATCAAACTGAAGTTCACAAAGACTAAGTCATTTTCCCAAGGTTCCAGAATCAGTAAGCCGTGGATCACGGATTCATACCCAGGCAATACAATTCCAAAGTCCATATTTGTCAACTATTCTGCCTTCCCAAAAAACGTGAATGGAAAGAAAATCATCCAGATAGAGATCTTAGCCTAAAAGAACTCTCCTGTGCTTGTCCACTTAAACCCTAGGTACTCTATAAAGCTTTGACTTCAATGCTCTTTCTGTAGAGCTCTCCCTGACAGAGTTAAAGCATCCCTGCTCTCTTTCAGCACTCTTAAAAATCTCTGTTGGAGCCCTTATAGTCTGTCAACCTGTGTTATCTAAAGTGCTACTTGCCTGCACAGGCTCAGAGAGCTCTGATGGCGTAATCTATAGGAGTTGCAGGCCGAATGAACCCAAAGGTCAGAGGCTCTGTGTCATTTTGAACCTAACAGTGGCTCTGCAGAAGATAGGCAATCTCTCCCTGTGCCATTTACAGTCTAGGAAACCCACTGGAGAGCCAGCTATGAATACATTCTGACTTAACAGCAAATGTGTTTTTCTAGGTTATTGGGGGATTTTTAAAGTCTGCTTATGAATGCCTTTTTACTTTCTGATGCCAAACACAAAGTATAGGGCCATCCTTAAAGTGATTTGAAACTCAGAAGTTCTGTCTCATGGGGCAGGCCTAATCTGTATTCCTCATCTGTCTTTAAATCTGAGCATAGTGGTTTTATAAAGCAGGTGCTCCTCAAGGGTCTTTTTGTGGAAATATGGGTGGCTTTTACAGGAAAAAAACATGGCTGTTGGAGTTAAAAAACAACAACACCACAAAAAACCAGAGTGAAATCTGACTATGTTCATTGTGTGGGTGACAGTGGGCAAATTACTTAATCCCAGAAGCCTCTGCTTCATTCTGTGAAGTAATGCTGGTAATACACACCTCTATCCTAGATGAAATGAGATACTGGATATGCCTCAACCTGCCAGCAGCACTTTTCCACTGTTGATTTGTCTTTAGTGAACTCTGAAGATATTTCTATCTGTGTGCAAGGCACTCTGTGAACATCAAGGGCAAGAAAGATAATGGAGACAATGTTCCTCAGAAGCTTATGTAGAGTAAGATCACTAATCCACAGAACACAGAGAAGATGTTCTGGAGTCAACATGAACTTGATTACTAAACAAACATTATCAGTAGTGGTTATAACAGAAGTTTCTAGAAGGGCAAATATAGTACTGAGGTGTCAAGAACGCCTTTCTTAAGAAGGTGGATTCCGAGAGGAGCTCTTCTTGGGCAAACAAGAAGGGTCCCTGGGGCCTGGAGAAAGAAGACAACTCACACCTATAGGGCCCACTATGGAGCCTAGAACTCTGTCTGACTGTGTCAGCCCTTGGTTGATGGGCAAGAAATCAGGCCCTGCCATTGCAAGCTAATGTGATTATTTTCCAGAGAAGATGTTGTTGTGTACCATAGAATTGAACTGACCCATAGCTGACCCTCTGGCTTGGTTTTCACAGGCAGTTACTCTAATAGGAGGAGATTGTCCATCCTTCTCCCACAGAGCAGCTGGTGGCCTCAAACCATGTGCCTTAGGGATTGCAGTATAGCTTCTTGCCCCTAAGCTACCAGAGCTTCCTTCCAGAGAAGATAGATACCTGGATTTCTGTGCAAAATCTCAGTTTCAAAGGTTGTAAACTTTTTTTTTAATACTCTATAAGCCAAGAAAACATGAACATAGGTTAGATATAAATCTAGAACTCCTGCCAGTGAACTGAAAGAGAACTCAAAGTCAAAAAGGCCAAGTAGCTGAAATTACTTGAATGCTAAGGTAAAGAATTATTTTCTTTCAGAAAGTATAGGATCCTGAGAAGATGGCCAGCAAACCATTCTATTTCCTCAAGGAGGTTTAATGAGAACTTATTTTGTTGATAGTAAATTTTATCATCATAAACTTTGCTCTATTTATAACTCTATTTATTTAACTAATAAATCAATAATAAATTTCTTTAGTTATAAATCTATTTAACTCTATGTATAACTGTAGCTTGTCTAGCTTCCTACGATGATGGCACCAGAACCAAAAAGGAAGACCCTCGTCCACCCAAAACTGAAGCCAAAGCAAAGATGTTAAAGGCCAACAAGGCAGTCCTGAAGGGCATCCACAGCCACAATAAAACAAAAGAAAAAAAAGGTCGGTACTCCCACTGATAGTCTGAAGGCAGCCTAAACACATCCAGAAAAGCGCCCCTAGGAGAAACATCCTGACCATTGTACCATCATCAAATTTCCCCTGACCACTGAGTCAGCCATGAAAAAGACAGAAGAGCACACCCTCATGTGTTCATTGTGGATGTCAAAGCCAACAAGCACTAAATCAAACAAGCTGTAAAGAAGCGCTAGGACACTTATGTGGTCGTGGTCAACATCCTGATTAGGCCTGATGGAAAGAAGGCCTGTGTTCGACTTGCTCCTGACTATGATGCTTTGGATGTTGCCAACAAAACTGGGGCCATCTAAACTGAGTACAGCTGACTAATTCTAAATACAACTTTTTCTCAAAAAAAAAAAATAAAATATTTTGTCTAAGACATTTACTTTCTTTATCTGTATAACAGGTTCTACTTTGTTTATTCATAAAAACATGGGCACCTATAGACTAGTCCCTATATTTAAGTCACTTTAAATGTTTGACTTTAAAGGTGTCTTAAGCTTCATCTGTAAAAGGTTCAGATATCAAAGGCCTCTTCAACAGTCTATGCTTTTTTTTGTTTCATAATTTTTTCATTTATTTCACTGTTCCTTTCCTTCTGTTTTAAGTAACAATGGGGATTGGGAAGTTAATTAAGAATCTAAAGAAAGAAAAACATAAAATATGAGGAGGAAAGCATATAAGAAAAAATAGAGAAAGTAAAATTTGCAAATATGCAATGGTTAAGCAGACATATTTCCTCAAAATGTCCCTATAGTTAATTATAATAACAAAAATGTCAGTTCTAACATCCGTTTATATGGATCAATATGCCTGTGAGATTAAAACGGTGCTAATTTACTTTGGGGTCCTTTTATGCATTTTAGTCACAGCTGTAATTTTTACTCAATTACCATGATTGTTGAATCACACATTTCATCTGCATACACCACAAGTATGCACTGTTCTATTGTTGATATTGCTATTATAGCCGCTGACTTTATAAAACCCTCTACTTTTACACACACACAAAATTTGTTCTTAATTGGCATATACAAGTAAAATAAGATTTTAAAATCTTAAAGTTTAACAATTTTCAAACATCTTTTCCTTAACTTCATTGACTCTTGTCATTTCACTATACCCACTACTTTTGAGAATTTCTGACTCATAGTGACCCTCCAATGGGGTTCTGAGGCTGTAAATCTTTATGGAAAGAGATAGCCCAATTTTTTTTTTCTTAGAGTGAGCTGGTGGATTCGAACCAGTGACCTTTGAGTTAGCAGGGAAGCACACAATCATAACACCCACTGGGTTCCATTTAATGCATTTAATGTCTTATTATCACCCCATTTTATAGTGAAGAAAGCTGAGGCTCTGGAAGGTCATGTGGCTGTAACCTGATCATGAACACAGTTCTCAATAAGCTCTAACTCTGTCCTACGCTCTCATACAACATGAAGGGCACTAGCAGTCTGAAGATTTCTGAAGGTTGGTCTTTGGTTTCTGAGGAGAATTTCCTGATTTGGGGCAGGAGCGCTAAATTCAATTTGGATCAGGGTTGGGGAGTGAGAGTGGCAGAGAACAGGTGAGGAAGGAGAATGTGCAGAGCCAAGCATATATTCTTACCTTGTCCAGTAGGCAATCTTCAAAATTCACCTCAGGCAGGGATTTCATGGCTTCTCACTCGATTCTAAGCAAAGCAACAGCTTCCTGGGTCTCTGGAGAGCTGCACTGGCCGGCCCACCACTGATAGCTGTGTGCAGAACTGCTCTGGAATTGTCGATGTGGACCAGAGACTTGTCTTCTCAACTATTCATTCAGTTCCCAAACTGTCAACCTATTTGTCGTCTTTTGTGGAATGAGAAGAGAAGGCAGGGCGGAGATTAATGGCATTGACTCTAAATTAAATATAATTTTGCTTTCACCAATATTGTCTGGTTTTGACCAGAGAGAAAATATTCAAAGTTGTATTTCCCCCTCAAACGACAAAGTTTCATCCAGATAGAAATGCCCTGTAGTTGCTGGATACCTTTTCCTTGTGTTAGTCTGAGATATGTTAGATGCATTCTGAGCTCTCTTTTTCTCCTTTTCTTTTTCCAGTTGACAGTAAACAACCCTGCCCCTCCAATCCAGAAAATCCCTTAACACAGATTGATTTTCTTTAAAATAAACAGGATCACCTACCTGGCTCCCCTCTTTAGTCCTGTGAGTAGGCGACCAGGTCACGCCAATGAGGCATGCATTTGGAAAAACGTGCAAGCGCGCACGAACACACACACACCCCCTGCACACTCAGACATGCACACGTAGACACCACAGAAAACGCAGGACTGGGACCTTTCAGCTCACCTGCTGACCTTTAAGCTTAATTTCCCTCTTTCCACTTGAAAGCTTGCAGTAAAAATAAAGTCAGCGTAAACAGACCCCTTGAGAGCAGGGGAAACACCCTCGTCTCTTGTTGCCAGCAAAACTTTCTCTGGAAAACTGCTCAGGCAGTAAATTCCCAGTCTGGCGGGCTGGGGCTAGTTTTATTACAGAAAGGGGAAAAAAACCCACCCAATCAAACGCCAACTATATCATGATCTCCCCAAGCCCAGTAAACATCAAAGAGAAATCTATCAGAAGATTTTGGGGGTGGAAAAACGCCGCCAAAACAAAATTTCCGCGCATCTGGTAGCCCCAATCATCCCTCAGCATGGTCACAGGGCTGTCTGACCCGCCCCGCTGCGCTGCCTCTCATGACTCAGCACCCCGCAGAGAGCCCTCGGCTTTCTTTGTTTTGAGATTTGCATGTATTTCCAAGACTCGGCCTCTGCAGGAGAGCCAAATCACACCTCCCAGCCTACTCCCTTCTCTACCTACCCAATTGTTGTTAGGTACCTTCAGGTGGAACCAAACTTAGCTGACCCTCCTGCACGAGTTTTGTTGTTGCTAAGTGCCTCTGTCCTGAACCTGTCTCACTGATTCCTACACAGCTACCCCCATGGACCCAGTTATCTCATTCAGGGTCTTCCTCTCCTGCTCTGTCCCTTCACCCTTCCAAGCATAATGTCCTTCTCCAAGGACCAGTCCCTCCTGGACTCTGCAGGGTTGTTTTGTTTAGTTTTTATTTTCCCAAACCCCTACAGGTTTTAAGAGGCAGTAAATCACAGTGAGCTCTAGTGGCCTAAGGGCAAGAAGCTGCCCTGCAAAAAGCACTGTTGGAGGCCACAGCTACTCTACCACCAGCTGCTCCATGGGAGAAGAATGGGCAATCTCCTCCCTTGCCTACCTCTGAAAACCCGCAGGAGGATCAGTAGTGCGTTGTGTACACAGCAATAACAACATATCCCACAGGAGAGGATTGTCCATTTTCTCCTGGAGCAGCTAGTAGATGAGAAGCACTCTGGCGGGAAGGAGCTGCACTGCCAAATGAAGACATGATGTTGGAATGAATCCACCAAACTGCTCAGTGGGAGAAATATGGACAATTTCTTCTAGTGAGATTTATTGTCTCTGAAAACCAGCTGGAGGGTGAGCTATGAGGCAGTTCCTCTCAATAGGTCCCGAGTCACCCGATTAGTCCAGGTGTTCAGCCTAGTTCTACAGACCCCTATTAGAAATCCAATCACAAATATTCTCAAACCACAACCCTACAGACTCTCCAAACCCTCTAAGCCACCCTCAAAAAGGCCCTGATTTTCGATGTAATTCTAAACTCCCTCCCATGGTTTCACTTAACTCCAAAATAAGCCATTTCTCACAGACAATACAAGAATCCTTCCCTTAGCTTACATACACACACACACACACACACACACACACACACACACACACACACACGTAGTTGATGGTCTGTTCCACAATTAGCACCTGGTCTAGTTTTCACAGTTGTTATTGAGCTTCTCTAAAGATTCCTTCCACAGATATTATCAATCTGATTCCTGTGCATACCATCAGGTGAAGTCCATGTATATAGTTGCCGTTGATGTTTCTTATAAAAGGTATTTGCCATGAATAAACCATCGATTGTACAAAATTCTATCATTCTATCTCCAGTCTCATTTCTGTCACCAAGTCCATGTTTTCCGATCACTGATCTTTCTTCCCTATTTCCAGTTTTTGCATTCAAGTCACCCATTATTACTAATGCATCTTAGTTGCATGTTCATTCAATTTCTGACTGTAATAGTTGGAAGAAATCATCTATTTCTTCCTCTTTGGTTCTGGTTGTTGGTGCATATGTTTGAATGATAATAGTATTAACAGATTTTCCTTGTATGCATAAGGATATTATCCTGTCGTATGATACTGTCAACATCAAGAAGACAAAGATTCTCACCACTGGGCCAATTGGCAACATCAGTATGGATGGTGAAAAGATTGAGATAGTTAACAGTTTTAGTTTACTTGGTTCCATAGTCAACACTCTTGGTAACAGCAGCCAGGAAATCAGGAGACGAATTGCATTGGGAAAGTCAGCTATCAGGGACCTCTCTAGAGTACTGAAGAGCAACGATGTCAGGCTGGAGACTAAGGTGCACCTGATCTGGGCTATATAGTCTTCGCAGTTGCATGCTATACATTGGAGAGCTGGACAGTGACTAGGGATGATAGAAAGAGAATTGATGCCTTTGAGCTGTGGTGCTGGAGAAGAGGGTTGACTATACCATGGACTTCTAGAAGAACAAACAGTTTTGTCCTGAAGAGGGTGAAGCCAGGCTGTTCCTTGGAGGCAAGGATTCTGAAGCTTCATCTGACATACTTTGGGCATGTTGCAAGGAGGGACCAGTCTTTGGAGAGGGACATCATGTTTGGGAGAGTGGAGGGACAGCACAGGAAAGGAAGACCCTCAATGAGAAGGATCGATTCAGTGATTAGGGTAATGGGAGTAGGTGTGTTGGACACAATAAGGTTGGCCCAGGATAGAGCAAGGTCTTTTGTACATGGGGTCGCTATGAGTTGCAAGTGACTCTGTGGCACATAACAACATGATACTGTACTTCAGGATGGATCTAGAAATGGCCGTTTTTAACTATGAATGCAACCCCATTTCCTCTCACCTTGTCATTTCCAGCTTAGTACATCATATGATTGTCTGATTCAAAATGTCTCAGCCCAATCCATCTCATCTCACCAATGCCTAATGTCATAATTTATGCGTCCTATTTCTTTCTTAACAATGTCTAATTTTCCTACATTTATACTTCCCACATTCTGCATTTAGTGCCTGCTTACAACTGTTCCTCCTCCTTTGTGTTTCCCAGTGCAAGGGCTCAGCCTCAGATGCCATATCTGCAAGTCTAAATGTGCTCTACTGTACATGGGGTTTCGAAGAGGCCAATGTCAGATGGATCTCTGCTGAAAGCAGAGAATACCAGAGGAATGCCTGTTTCATTGGCTTTGCAAAAGCATTTGAGTGTTTGGATCACAGTCACAACAAATTATGGCTAACCTTGAGAAGCAGGGGCATCCCAGGACACTTGATTGTGTTCATGTGAAACCTAGACTGAGAATAGGATCACTCATTAAAATAGAGCTATTGTTGTTGTTTTGTGCCATGACTCATAGCAACCCTATATACAACAGCCCTGAATCCTGCTCTATCTTGAACCAACTTCATTGTCTCTGACATACCTACCCCCATTACTGTGTGTTTCAAAATCAGAAAAAGAGTGTGTCAGGAATACAGTCTGTCTCCATACCTTTTCAATCTGTATGTGGAAGAGATTGTTCAGGAAGCTGGGATTTATGAGGAGAATGTGGCATCAGGATTGGAGGGAGACTCATCAACAACTTACATTATACAGATGACACAACCTTGCTCACTGAAACTGAGGACTTCAAGCTTCTACCAGAGACGGTCAAGGATTGTAGTCTTCAATATGGATTGAAGCTCTAAATCAAGAAGACAGAGGTTCTCACCAGTGTGCCAATTGGCAGCACCATGATAAACGGAGAAGACATTGAGGTTGTTAACAATTTCAGCTTGCTCATTTCCACTATCAACACTCTTGGCAACAGTAGTCAGGAAATCAAAAGGCATTAAATTTGCATTAGGGAAATCTCCTAATCAGGGACCTCTCCAAAATGTTAAAGAGCAACACTGTCCCTCTACAGACTAAGGTGGGCCCAATTCAGGCCATAGTCTGTGTAATTATTTGCTATGCATCAGCTGGACAATGAATAAAGATGACAGAAAAAAGATCGATGCCTTTGAGTTGTGGTGCTGGAGAAGAGGATGGTGCTGGAGAAGAGGGTTGAACATACCATAGACTGCCAAGAGAACAAAGAGGTCTGTCCTGGAGAGGGTGAAACCAGGCTGCTCCTTGAAGGCAAAGATTTTGAAGCTCCATCTCACCTACTTTGGGCATGTGGACAGGAGGGACCAGTCGTTGGGCAAGGTCATCATGCATGGAAGGGTGGAGGGACAGCACTGGAGAGGAAGACCCCAGATGAGATGGACTGATACAGTAACTGGGGCAATGAAGATAAGTGTGTCAGAGACAGGTTAGACTGGCTCAGGATAAGGTAGAGTTCAGAGCTGTTGTACTTAGGATCACTATGAGCCACAGGCAACTGGATGGCACATAACAACAACAACAACAAAATCTTCCTTCCTTCCTCAGCCATGCCATGCTCCTGCTTTGTTCTTACCTCTCGCTTTGACTATCATTATTAACCCCAGAAGCCTT